ATTCAGTGACTCAATCAAACAGTCACTTGTTTCGTTCCTATTTGAATCAGTGTTTTTGAACAGCACTTTTGGAACACCTTTTTAGTCAACTGTTTCATTGTTTAATAAATTTGATTTTGAAACTCATAAAGACAGCCACTTGTTTCGTTCCTGGATTAATCTGTTTGTTTTATAAAAATGGTTGAGTGAATGGTTGAGTTCAGTGACTCACTCACTTGTTTCGTTTCTGAATGAATCAGATTTTTTTGAACGATTCACTCATTAAGAAAGTCATTAATGAGCACTTTAAACAAATGTGTCCAAACGAAATAGCTACAATGGCCTGTAACAAATTTTGTTCATTACAATTTTATTAACCATATGTATACAATCTTCTCAGGGGCAAAAAGGAAACTGAAGATGCCAACAAAATAAACGCCTTGTCAAAGAAATACAGCGCTGTGGGGAGTTTAAAGAGCCGCTGGCAGAACTGGGCGTCGGAGCACACGGTCAACCAGAAGCTCAACCCCTTCAGCGAGGACTTTGATTACGAGTATTCGATGTCGACGCGGTTGCGGAGGGGCGAGGAGGGTTACGGGCGGCCAAAAGAGGGCAGCAAGACCGCAGAACGGGCCAAACGCGCAGAAGCGCACATCCACCGTGAGATCGACGACATGTGCTTCATCATCAGGACCATGGCGGACCGAGATGCAGACGGATACACCAGAGTGACCTTCGGAGATCTGTTTGACAGATATGTGCGGATCTCTGATAAAGTCGTGGGGATACTAATGAGGGCCAGAAAGCATGGAAAGGTGGCGTTTGAGGGGGAGATGCTGTGGCAGGGCCAGGATGATGCCGTAATTATTACTCTGTTAGTATGACATGATATATGTAAAATCAAATTAACCTTACTGAAAAAGCATGCAAAATCAGAAAAAAAAAACAATAAATGCATTTTAAGTTAAATATACTGGGTGCATCTTCCACACAATTTATTTATTTAAGTTGAGATCACCAGAATGACATACAGTATATAAAAAAATTTTACCGGAAAAAAATGTTTTCAAAAAACTTGACACCCTTGCCTCATTTAGTATGCGTGGTTCTACACTCTAAAAAATGCTGGGTTGTTTTAATCCAATTTTGGGTCAAATATGGAGAAACACAAACATTGGGTTAAAAATGTCATTTAAAAATGTAACCCAATGGCTGGGTTTGTCCATATTTGACCCAAAAATGGGTTAAAACAACCCAGCATTTTTTTTAGCGTTTATGAATATGCAAATGAGCCCCTCCTCCACTCACTCAGCTCAGAGATTCACTGACAACAATGAGACAATGTTTTCTTGCAGCATGTATTAACCTCTGTTAATGTTAGCTCCCACAGATAGCCTTTTAAAAATGTCCTGAGATTAATCTAAGACTAATAAATGCAGGTCATTGTTAGTTTATGTTAAAAGAAACCTCATTGTAAAGTGTTTCCCAGCTTTTTGTCATTATATGTGTCATGTCTCCCATTTGGACTTTAATGTTTAGTTTGTGTTTGGTTACAGTATTTCCTCTTGTTCTCCTAGTTGTGTTGTTGATTAGCCCAGATCTTGTTCACATGTGTTTGTAGTTTTCTCTTGCACGTTGATCCATAGCTTCTGCCTTTCTTGATCCTCAATATGTCATGTTTGATATGCATGTAAAAAGATCTGTTTTATTGATTTGTATACTTTGTAAATTACAAGCTGCTAAATGAATGAGATTTTGGATTAGTTTGTTTTTAACTTTTGCACTAAGGATATGGAGCAGAGATGGTAATGTTTCCTCCAATCTGTCTTACTGTCAATGATCCAGAAGAGGGAGTTGTGCAGCAAGAGTTCTCAGTTTGTGTAAATTCACTTGGATTCAGATTATTCATTACTTCCCACATTCATCTCAAACATGTCTAATAAAATGATGTGGTTTTGTTTTATTAATACAGTGTGTACTTTTTTCTTGATTTACCCTGAAAGAATGGAAGTGAAATGTGACAACATGCCCCATAGGTGGAGCACATTACAACATGACCATATGACAAACTCAAATATTTTTTAAATAAAATACAATTTTCATGCTATTTTTCACTAATGAAAAAATGATTTTTAACACAGCTATAAAGCATAGTTTAAAACATTAATAATGAATCATTTCTGAACATTGATTTCACCTTTTTCTCACGGTTTCGCAATAGAATTCATAAAAGTCTAGAATAGAATGTCATAGTTCTAATAGGAGCTCATTGTAACGCAGTGTGACAACATACCCCGCCTGAGCAACTGGGACATTAAACAACAACTGTCGAAGAACAGAGATAAGATTACAATCATATCAGATTTGTCTATTTTAAATAAACACAAAAATATTATTAAATTAAAAATTAAATATTATTAAATAGATTAAAGCTACACTCTGTGATTTTTACCCCCATCTAGCTGTGAAAAGGTATATGACCATCGAGGAATATTAGTTTCTGTTCCTCTCAATTCCGATTTCGTTTTAACTCATACAGTGGCCAATGTAGTCCAAGATTAACATGGCTTCCAGTTCGACCTCGTCCATGAGTGTTAACTCAAACGTAAATGCGAAAGGCGAAGCTTGAATTAACGGGTATGTCCCTCTTTGGCTAATGTACTTTCAAGATGGAGGGGCAACATGGCAACCGACATTTGAATCCCTTACCAGTATGGCATATTATACACTCACGAGAATACTTTATTACTTGAACGAAGTAAATATCCATAATAAGCACATACATTTTTGAAAGAACTAAGTGTTTTAGCTAAGAATAAACTAAAAGAGTCACACAGTGTAGCTTTAAGTAAGAAATGTACTTTTGAAATGGTTAAATAAATGTTCTGATAGGTTTCTGAATTTTGGTGCATTTTGTTTTCTCTACATAGTGTTCAGTGTTGGCAACTAGTAAATACACTAAGTTTCATCATGCTGGCATGTGTGGTAATCTTTGGCTGTAATCTTTCAAAAATATGCAAGACATTCTACAACAATAAATGACAGCATGTTTATAGGAATCTACACACTCATTTGCAGTGTTTCCTTGTCATGTGGTTGTGTGTCAAGTTCATGAAGACAGTAATGCAGCAGAACAACCACAGAGCAAACTGATAAACCAATGCCAAGCATTCTGGAAACCAGACAGACAAGAGCTGACTATAATCACATGAATGCGGATCAAAAACCATTAGCAGGAAACGCTGTGTCATGAGATAAAAATGTAAAATTTGTTTCACTGATTTCAGGACTCAAATATACAGTATGTTGTTGAGACTCAAAATAGTGACAGTTACCATGATGTTCATAATGATACAGCATATTGTGACCTTGCTCTTAATGTAGGATGTCTCTCACTATATTGGTTAAGAGAAATTGTTCTCTATCCCTTCCACAAAAGAGACAGGCATTTCATCAGAGCAACGCGATTGAAGGCCTTTTCTGCAGTTTCTTCAACCATAAATCATCCACATGTATGACATGTATATCCTAGCACATTTCCCAATTATAACCTGAATTAGGTTATGATGTGCTCAGTTCACACAGCGGTTTAAATGATAATGAAAATATCCTACAGGCTTCATGCTGTGATGATTGTGTGTGTTTCTGTAATGATGTCTCTTCAGTCTCTGAGTTCACTTTAAGCTTCTGTCTCATCCGAGGACGTCAGACTCGTTCATTATGAATTTATGCAGCTCTCCTGTTGTTCTGATTCGGGGTCAGGTTTTGTTCTTAAAAAAAGGAAGCATTTGTTTGTACATGCCAAGTGAGAAAGAACAAAATTAACTTGTTTCAAAGGGGCCTTTGAGTTAAAGTTTAATTTGAGTCATTCGACTGTCTTTCAGACATTTTAGGAATGTTAAAAATCTCTATGTCTATGCCACAATTTTCAGATTATTTCATAAAAATTAACAGTAAACTATGAGACACAAGTTCACAGTTTCACAAGTTTAATCACACACACACACAGTGTTTTGCCAAGTAAGACATGGTCCTGGATCAACCCAGCAAACACAGAACATTCCTCCAACGTTCCTTAATGGTCCCATGAGGTTATTTTTTTGGGGAACCAAACAAGAATGTTATAGGAACGTTCCTTGTAGGTTATTTTTAGGTTCCATTTTTTATAACGTAAGGAGAACGTTCCAGAAACGTTCTCCTTACCTTAAGGGAAAGTTCTAGGAACGTTCTGGGAACCAAAAACTAATGTTCCCAGAATGTTCCCAAAACCTAAATTTGTTTGCTGGGAACATTACTGTCCCAAAATGTGGTCCCTCCCTACCCAATCCCTAGCCCTACCCATAACTTTTCCCTAAAATCAGAGGGTAATGAGAAGTGAATAGCTGTGTAAGTACTTCACTGGTTCTGAGCCTAAACTCGACATATAGGCTACTATAAACCTGTCCCTCAAATCTGAATGGTTGATTGGAAAGTTGATCCAAGAACATGAGGTACTGAAAGCACCTCCCTCTCCCTCTCTCTCCCTCTCTCTCTCTCTCTCTCTCTCTCTCGTTTGAACACAATAAACACAAACAAACTTGTCTCTGAAACCGGTCAAACAGCGTGATTGCAGATCCCGTCACTTTTAGGTGTAACTAGCCTACAACACAACTCCACTTCCCATGATCCCCTGAGAGCAGATCTCACTTCTCCAGCCCGCTCGGATCCACAAAGGGTTTTGCTTGGCAAGTGTTAATAAGCAAGACACTTTGGCAGAGTCACAGACAACCAGCAGCTTTCCTTCCCATGATGCCCGAACTCATGCAGTAGCAGCATGGCTGTTCAAGGTAAGGCTTTCAAGAGCTATTTACGCTTATATATGTTTATGTATTGAAATGAACGCCACACACACATAGCCTACACGCAGGGTTGGGATTATGATTGGCTGCCGATCAGCCGCAGATCTTTGCCCTGCTCTACTGGAAACCTATGACATGGAGATGGGCTCGCGTGGGCCCGTGTGTGTGTAACCAGTCTATGCATGCAGTGTAAAGATCGAGGATCTGCATCATTCAGCATCTGCGCGCTCATCCTCTGATTCACAGAAGACCACTGAGAGGAGCAGAACACACATGTGCATGCACACAATCCTTCGTGTTAGTGTGTAAACGCAGTATCTCTTTGCCTCTGGTGATCGGATGCGATGCGCGCTTCATTGAGGAGCGGCGGGTTCGCGCGAGCCCGTTGTTATTATTAATCAGTTTTCATAAGGCGCGTCTGTTAGACAGGTGTTTGGTTTGTTTCGACCACCTGCTCTGGTGCCATGATGTTAGGGCAATCTCCACACCTCATCGGAGGAATCCTCTGGATTCAGAACCCAATGCGAGGTAGGTCTAGTTCCAAGACATCGGATGATGCTTGTTGTGTCGAATGACGTCTTATCGATCGTGTATTGGCCGATCAGTCGAACTAGGAATAATGTAAAGAATTGAAATCACTTCAAACACGTGATCTAGTGAATTATGCTTATTAAATTCGGTCTGTGTAATGATGACGGGGTGTAACGCTCAGACAGGACTAGTTGTCATTATTTACTACTTCAGTAACTATTTGTAAGGGTCTTTGTATTCAGAAAGTGAGTTTTTGTATGATTATGCCTGAAGCTATCGGATATCTCCACTGTTCTCGCTCTGGATAAAAAGATTCTTTAAACATGTTTATCTTTTGTGACAACATACCCCACAGCCCTGCGTGCTGTCACTGTACAGTTCAGTAAATGCGTTATTATGTAACAGTTGGTCCTGTCTTATAACAGCCTATTATAGACTTTTCAGCAGAAAGTTATGAAAGAAACACAACACTTTTTGTATACGGTTCACTTTACAGAAATATAGCCTAATGATTAATCTAATAAACTGAACTTTTGAAGAAAAACATACATTTGATCCAGTAGGAACTTGTTTGATCTGATTTGGTCTGGTTTCACATACAGTCATACGGTATGACTGCACTTCCATTACGATTTCTTAGATTTGTTGAATTGCCATTCTTGAGTATAAATAACATTTTGCTTTTGATTTTAATAAAAAAAAAATGTTTAATTATTAGAGGTTTGATTCATCTTCTACATGAATCTTGAGAATAAATGTGATTAAAGCATTCACTTTATTAACGTTGAATGGAGATGGAGATAAAACATCCCATAACATTTTAGTTTTTAACATTGCTTTGGTGGTTCCATCTTTAATTGAGGTGTCATACTGTACTAAATGCTGTCACTTGCACCCTGTAGGGCCAAAAGCCAAAATTAAATTTCTAAACCTTTTGTTGTCTGCATACTGAAGAAGTCCAGCTTCAGCATACAGTCAAGAGAATAGAGAACTTGAGGATTTCTGCTTTACAAACAAAACATAATGGATCTTTAGGGAGAGTACATGTACAATATTCCTGCGAAAAATGGAAGCTGAGTAATTATAGATACATTAAACACTTTCTGGTAGGATCTTGGATCTCAGGGGTGTGCTTGTGTAAATGCTTTGGCTCTTCAAAACACGTCTGATTCTTCTTCGTGATTGGTCTTCAGGGACGTGACATACAGTAAACGCTGAAACCCAGACGGCAGTGTGACTGGAGGGCTGATTAGTTAATGCTCTGCTGAGTGATTCCTCTTATACTGTTCTGCTTTTAGAGTGACGTTTACACTTTATAAGAAAGAAAAAACACTATTTGTGTGCACTAAAGTACATTTTTTAGATATTACCATTAATGTATAGTGTGTATTGTAGCTGTTTGTGAATTTAAGACATCAAAGTGCAGATAAATGTCGATTCTGAACTGAAACGAGTCGTCAGTAATTCAGTCTCCTGAATCTAAGTAGGTTTGTAACTCATTTGCATAATGCCAGTCTAAGCTCCTGATTGGCTGAACAGTGTCTCTTAGCTCCGCCCTCAAACACTAGTGTATCTGAGACGGGGAGAGTTTGTTTTGTGTTGTTCGTATCGAAGATGCTGTTTTCTGCTGACAAAGCAAATCCACTAATGAGATTGATATGGTGAAACCCACGCCATCGTTACACTTCATATCACTGTGATCAAGAGCTGAGGTTCAGATATGATAATGAGCGTTTGCTTTTTCACCAATCACAGCAGAGCAGCTCTCAGAGAGGTGGAGTTTAGAGAGACTAACCTAAAGAATCTGTGAGAAAAGAGCTGAGGCTGCAATTAAAATTATGACAAATTATTGTTTTTGGATCTTGGATGCATGTAAATATTTTGTAGGAGATTGCAAAACAAAATTAGAAACCTTTAAAATGGCATAATAGGGGTACTTTAAGCAGCAGAAATATGCATGTTATGTTGAAATGTTCGGCGAGTATAAAAGGAGGATTGCTTCCAGTTATGCCTCTAGTGTGTAAAAGGAATATGTGTTGGAATGGCCTGGTGACGGATCGCTCACAGTCACATGAGACATTCAAAGACATTTGCATTCTCAAGCCGCTGAACTGACTCAAGATCAAAACGCTGAGAGACTGACTCTCAAACACTCCAGGCGGAGTCTGATGTGCTGAAACACACTGCTGTTATACGAACATGTCGACAGATAGTGTGTGCCAGACTACAGATTCTGAAAACAGCAAACTTGATCAAAATAATTGAGAGGGTTTTCTTCTTTAGACCTCTTTTCAGTTGGTAAACATGGTGACGTTTTTTTTTTGTGGGCGGAGCTTAGGTGGAGGCAGAACAATGCCTCTGGTTGCTTCACTAACGCTAGTTTGCAAGTATTGTTAGCTTGTCTTTTAACAATGACTGGAGAAAATCCTATTTTATCTTAATGTGTAAGGTCACTCAGTGTCCAGGACCACGATTGTTATTTCCAAAAGTTATTTTTAACGAACGGAACCAGATTGGCCGACCCGAAGCCGCCTACATGCTCATTCAATGCATGGACGATCTGACAGGATTAACGTTACGTTACCTCCGTTGAGTGGCCTGACTTCTACACCTACCTTATAGAGAAGCCGATAGTAAAGAGAAATTGAGGGCATATAAATCTTTAGATGCCTATAACTATATGGTCCGGTACAAGACTTGTGTGTACGATCCGCAGTTCTGCCGAGTAGGGTTGTGACGGTTTGAATATTTTCTCACCGGTTAATCGACGTGTGACAACACCGGTAATACCGGTGTCACGGGCGGAAGCTTTTAAATCGCTAATTTAAAGGCAAAAGTAAAATGCGCACATTTTCACGGGCATACATAACGGTGCGGAAGTATGGGAAAGAACTGTTTTGTTATTGTGCCCTGAATATGCGCTAGTTTGAAAACAAAACTAACTTTTGATTGACCGATATGTGATCTGACCAATCAAAATCCACCATTTTTGTGCGACAAAGCAGTCTGGAGAGTTGGTAGATTAACTTGGCTTTATCAGGCAATCTGTCACAACAAATTAAAGAGCCACAAAACGGTAGGCGTATTTATTGTTTGATTTTCTTTGACTGACCAAATTTGAAAGTTGAGACCGTTTCATTTTAAATATTACCTGCTCGGTCCTGTCTGTCAACGCGTTGTCGGTGTCCTCTATTTTTCACTGCTTGAGAACATGGGTTGAATCCGAAATGGCCCCTAAACCCTCATTTACTAGGCATATTCCCTACAGTAGTACACTAATACTGTTCACTTCAAGGAGTGAATAAGAAGGAGTAAGTAAAAGTGAGCGAATTCGGACAGCCGTTGCTGACAGAGACACGATCTGACACGCATCCCATTTTCTCACAAATCTCTACGTTCGTTTAAGACTAGGGCTGCAGCTATCGATTCTTTTTGTAATCGATTAATCTAGCACTTAATCGATCGATTAATCGAGTAATCGGATAATTTGTTTGTGTGTTTTTAATCAACCAAAACAAATAATGTATTACGAAAATGATAAGGTGTTTGGCTTTTATTTCTTTCAAAAAATAGAGGTATTTATTCCAACTCCAACATTTGGCTCCACAACTAATTATTGCAATTTTTACCCATTTAGTGTTTATAAGTGCCAGTGCCAACAATTATATAACAATACAGTTAAAACAATTTACTGTAAAACCTGTTACATGTAGCCCATAACATAACTTTGAATGCAAACTTAAATAGTAAAGCCCATTTGGCCTTAGTTTTGTCTTCTTAATACAACATTACAAAAAAAGGATTGCACCTTCTGCAAATTACCCACCTGGAAACAAAAATAAATTAATATAAAATATCAACCCAAACAGGTACACAAATGTGTACAATTTATTAAAAAAAATGTAAATAAAACTATTATAAATAAGAATCAGACTTTTTCCAACTGTAATCTCAAGACAAACATCAGTGTGTGTGTGTGTGTGTGTGTGTGTGTGTGTGTGTGTGTGTCTCTCACAATATGTGTTCTTCCATCACGTCCCGGTGAATGTATGCTGAAATTTTTGTTGCGTGACTACATAAAAGTTTAAGCATATGATGAATTGCCGCAATTGGTCTGACTGGCACGTGAGAGAGACATGGCTGCACGTGCTCGCTTACCTCTCTGCCGTCGTGCGCGAACCGTTAGGAGTTAGGAGCTCAACATCTCGCATGCGCGCTCGCACTAGATTACAGGATATTTTAACTTGCGAATTAATATGCGGCGGTAAAACTAGTCGATCACGAGTGGCTCAACAGGTAGATCTATAGACAAACTCATCTTTCAGGGATTGACACTTCAACGTGAGAAATCGAATTGATCCCTGCATGTGCGTAAAGTGCCCGTCATAGGAATTTAACGAGGCTTCGAGGCAGATTTTTTGCCTCGAGGAATTTTTGTAATCGTGTAAATCGAGGAATCGTTTCAGCCCTATTTAAGACTGCTCTTATGGACAATTTGGCATAATTTGTGTGTTATGGTTTGTTCAAGCCCTAAAGAGAACGCGATACCGACGCGCATCTTTTCTGTGGGTCGTGTGTGTGTGTTAATAGGCAGGATTTAACGACTACTGCGTAATTATGTTCAATATTTTTAAGGCTTTAAACTTTTTCTTTTTTTCACACGCCAACCGCGGCGTCATGAAACCGGTGTTGCGTCTGAACACCGGTAACGCCGATAACACCGACTACCGTAGCAACTACCAGTGCCGAGGCGACGACAATGTAAAGAGTGACATTATGGTGTGATTTTAATGATGTGAATATTTTCTAGAAATAAAAATTCTAGGTACAGCATGTTCATTTTTCATCAATTCTTGCATCAAACAACACAACAAGATGACATTTAATAATAGTAACAATAATTTAAGCTCCTTATAATGTAGCCAAATCTGTGCTGGTTTGTATTGGCCGCCTCCAGTTTTCACTTTGTTTTGCCTGCAGCTAGCGCCGTGACGTAA